CTTATCCAAGAAAAGTACTACCCCAAATAAGCACTTACAGAATATTTGTTCGAACCGATTTGCCTCTCGAAGACGCGGAAGTAGTACAGCAGATATAATCCAAATACTAGTTCAGGGGTAGAAGAAAAGGTAAAAGCCGATATGATCAGCTTCCAGATTTGAAGCTTCTGGAAGATATCCTGGCACAAGCAAAAAAGATGCATCAATTAGCAGTTCTACTATGGCGTTACAGGGAATCCTACTGAAACAATGAGATCATACCTAAGAAAACAGTAAAAGAGAACAAATCCTCTATAAAACAAAATTGTATATTAGGAGAAACAGAACCCGATATTTTATAAATTTCAAAAACCCAGAATGGATTTAGCTATGAGATGAAAACACATATATTAGGTTAAAAGAGAATCTTATATTTCTCCAAAGCTCAGCTATAAAACAAAAAAATTATATTAGGGCAAATAAGAAACAATTTATTCTTAAGTTACCGAAACAAACAGACGTGTGAGTTTGGTGCTTCTAAACCAATTAGGAATGTGTGGTATATCCCCTGCTGTTACAAACAAGCTATATGTCTTCACATGGAAATTGACAGAGCTCGTATCTCTTCAAATTCGAAAGGTTGATAGTAAAATAGGAGAAGACCATTTACAATCTAGTATTGCTATTGGATGATGGGTATTTTGTAAGACTATTAGGCCTTCTAAACCTACATATTGTATTAGCAACCCTATCAAGTAAGCATATAAAGTCTACATTACTATTGGATAAAACAGCTTGATGATATCATAATGAAAAACAAATGTGGTGGCATTAGCAGAGTACCATACATGGTACGAATAAAACCATTTGATATTCAATGTTACATGGACTCTTTTTCAAGAGGATATGACATTGGTATGAGCACTTCATAAGAAAACCTCAAAATAAACCAAAAGTCTCCTACAAATTGTATGTGAGCTTGTCCACAGACAAACCTGTACTCATACTTGATAAACCTGACGTAGTAAACATGGATTCAAGATTAGCTAGCTGTATCTGCTAATTGTGCTTAGTCATTGGTTATTGTGGAGTTTGGCTAAGGAGTATATGTGGTTCCAAGCTCATAAACAAGCCATTAATTTTATCCACGTTTACAGACAAGGAAGAAAACTGTTAAGTAGCTTCATGGAGTGACAAACCCATGTTCGATAGATATAGAAGATAACCTATTTTAGTATGGCCTCAAAATGCACAACACTGATAAATGGAAATCGATCCAGCAATATTGCTATTACATAGGCATGCATGACTTGATGAGAAAACATGATGTATTTTATGCTCTTAGACATAAAGAGTGAGCATCCCCTCAGAATTTTTTTTAAAAAAGGATTGTGTACACCTTAACAACTATCCTTAGCTGCCACTAAGCTTATAATTGGACAAGGGTCAAACTGAGCAAACATATTTCATGCACAGAAGAATAAATCAAACACGAATATATGAAATCTCCCAAAACCAACTGCCGATATGCATTGAACTAAGTAACATGCCAGTCTAGCTATAGTTGTGTTCACTCCCATCTCATATTGAAAAGATGCTACGATTCAAATCCAGATTTAGAAACGATAATGGGTCACTATGCACTAAAGATCCAATCTTTATATTCTTTTCACAGTTATAAAAACCCTCAAACCTAATTCAACTCAATACACAAAAAGGGGTGAGGCAAAATAGCAGCATCATAATACCCAAAAGGCGAAAACTCTTCCATCACTATCTAAATACCCAAATCTACAAAACAAAAAACTATCCCCACCAAAAAAGAACCCAAACCAAGAGATACCCAGAAAGTAGAACTACCTGATAAGACCATCCCAGCTGATTTCCACGGCCACGAACACCAAATATGATGGTGAAGATAGTACACGCAATTACCAATGCCCTTGTCACTGGTGCATTGTCTACAACATCAAAGTGAAAACAAAATTAGAAAACAAGCAAATCCGTACACTAAATTCATCAAAAAAAAAAACGTAATTGATGTGGGATTCAAAAACTTACTGAAACCAGATGGTCCGACGTTCATATTTGCAGCGATAAAAACGAGATTTTTTCCCTGTTTTCTACCTAACAAAGATCTGCTAAGTCCTACCTAATTCTGAAGAGACAAAAATGGAAAACGAAGATCAATTTTGCTTTGATTACAATGAACTATTTGCCTATTGTTTGCTATATTTACCAGTTTGACTTGTTACACACTTCGGGTCCTTCCCAATTTGAACCCAGAAAGGATTGATTTGTTCTTCACCCAGATCAATTTTTCTCAAAGTGGAAAACAAAACCCTTCTTTACTTTTTAACAAGACAAAATAAAAAAAAAATAAAAAAAAAAAATCACGCAATAAAAACATGTTATAAATTAAAAACTAATTTCTTCTTTTTTTGTAAAGTCAATTTTGAAATTTAAACCAAAAAAAAACTTGTTTATTAACTACTCCCTTTCGTTGTTGGAATTATCCGTTGTGATTTCTAAAAAATAGTTATTTCAGATTATTTATTATTTTTTAATTTAAGTAGTATATTATTAAAGATTACAAAAAACTTCATTTGTATAGAGAAATTATTTCATAATATATTTCATTGATTGGTTGCATGACTATCAACTTTGTCAACTACAAAGTGGAATCTGAAAATATTGGTATATTCATAGTTTAAAAGGTTTTGTTTCCATAGATCATTGGCTTAAGTAAAATATATATACACTAATAAAAAAAAGGGAAAAATTACGCTTATAATCAAACATATACTAGTTAATTAGGAAACATAACTATAGTTTGCCTTAATTACAATTCGCGACCTATTTTTAGCTATAATTACGCGGCTCAGCTTTTTAGTTTTGTATAATTCACACGTTTGTATGATTCAGAATTCATATGATATAATTTGTATAATTGTTACACTTCTAATGTTTGTAATTGTATAAATTAGTTATTTCGAATTTATACAAAATAACTGAATTATACAAATTTACTTGCAAATTATACAAATACATAAATTATACCAACGAGGTAGCTTAAACTGTAGCTATAACACATAAATATGCAAACTATAGCTATGATGCATAATTAAACTTATTATAATGGCTATTTGCGAAAGTTCCAAAAAAAGTTATGTTAAAAATAATGGAGGGAAAAGGGAATAATGACTATCGAGTTATATTAACTTACGCCTCAAATGTATTTTTGGTTTACTTTCAAATTAAAACTTCTCCATTTCCAAAGATAACGACACTATAATTTTTCAAATCATATATTTATGATTATAGGATATTATGATTTACGTTACGTTTTTACAAAAATTAAGCAATTAGTGTAACAATTCGTACAGAAAATTTTATCATTAAAGTAATTCCACAAGATATATACTAGAGAGTGGAGAAGGTTAATTCAACAAGATTAAATGTTTCAACCCACACAAAAAAGAAGTGGAACAAAAGCACAATATACACCACTTTGGGAAAATTATCTAAGGGTGTGTTTGGTATTAAGGAATATGTTTTCCATGAAAAATGTTTTCCTAGAAAATGTGTTCCAAGAAAACAAGTTGATTTTTGACTTATTTTCTCATGTTTGATTGGTGAGTAGAAAATATTTTCCGGAAAAAGATTTTTTAGTGTTTGATTTATGAATAAAAAATATTTTTTGAGAAATATCTTTTATTTTTACTAGAGTAGAAAATAATTTTTGAAATTGAAAATATTTTTTAAAACAAACTTAAATTTTTTTTGGGGTAGGGGGTGGTAGGGTGTGGGTGTGGGGGGGGTCGAGGGTAGGGGTGAAAAATTGAAATTTTGAAGTTGAAAATATTTTTTTAAAACAAACTTAAAT